TGCTTATGGAGAAAAGAGCAAGTATAAAGATGACATCATATAATTGGAAAGACGAGTTAGAACCGCACATTGAGTACTGTTTGAGAGATATTACAACTAGAAAATAATAACTAACAATGAGGCAATCAATAATGTATACTAAAGTATGTAGTTGTTAGGTATGGCAATTCACTTATTTGTCATACATTTACTGTTGCGTTCATCGAATATAAACAATATCATCTATTATATACATATGTTCGTGAGTGTTATCATGTTGATAGATTGGTAAGGGCATAATATTATTTATTTAATTAATTTTAAGATTAATACTTAACTTTCTCATAAAGGCATTAAATGACTTATACATGTCACATTTCAATCATGTCGAGTAAGAAGTAGTGGGATGTGATTGATCATAGCGTATGTGTGGGTGTGTCTAAAATTTTGAGGCCCAGAGGAAGACCCAAAAAGAAAAGAATAAAAAATTTTGTAGAAAATAATGTCAGAAAGTTCAAAAGTGTGCACAAATGTGGGCATTATGGACTTTTAGGGCATCATAAAATAATTTGTTAAAATTCATTGAGCTAAGAAATTTCATGACCAGAAGAAACTGATGGTGTAACTCATGTGCTCGAGCAAACCAGTTATACAACTAAATTTTGACATAAACTTCTAATTATGAAGCAATGCATGGAGGAAGATGCCTAAAGGAAAGCATGGTGGAAGACTTTTTTTTAGAATTTTATTTTCCTCACTTATTTTTTGGTTTTTTTGCAACAAACTCGTGCAAGGTACATGCGATTTTTTTTGATATGAGAATGTGCATGATGAAAACTCTTATGATTTTCTTGGGTAGATAGAGAGGTGGATGTATTTATGTAGTCCACCTTTTTTGTTTCTTTTTTAGTTGAATTCAATTTTTTGCATATGACAGCTGTATTTTTTTGTTTGGGTTGTTGTTCTTACTACAGATATTATATTTCACTTGGTTGATGCAACACTTGGTAAGGTATTGACCACTTGGTTGAGGTTAATTCTTCTTGGCTGAAAATGTTATGTTTTAGCATGCCATTGATAATGATGTTCTCTTTGCTGAATTTTCTGTACTTGAATCCATTTTATAATGAGACCCACCTTGAACTTATTTTTTATGAAAGTGATGAACTTTCTTTTGAGCTTATTTGCCACCTTATTTTGTGTGGAGTGAAATGATTTGGTAATTGTGGAAGTGTTGTGTATCAGTCGTGGTCTTCTTTATCTACAAGATTCACTACACAGAGTAGTTCTACATCATTGTTGGCATCGAACATCGTCTTCTTTTTCTACACAACAATTCACTACACATAATAGTTCATTGCAATCTAAAAGCAAGCAATATTTTGCTTGATAGCAACATGAACCCAAACATTACATAATTTTGCTCTGCAAAACTATTTCCTATTGATGAAACAGAAAAATATTTAAGTCAAATTCTCTGTATGGGCACATTGTATGTGCATGGCCATACAGAGTGGTTTTTTACTGAAATGGGTGTGGAAACAAGGGTATTAAGTGGGTTTTTTTCTTTATTTGTCTATTCACATTAGTTTGGTATTTCTCCAATTCATTAATCATTAATTCATCACTTTCTTGTTCCATTGAATGGGATAGTGCACCAACATTTCTTTAACCGCAAAACTTCTAAGATAAAAAATATTTTTGCATACATATGTTGTATGCCAACTTTCTGTGGTTTTTGCGAGCAGTAAAACATGCTTCCTTTTTTGATGACTGTGCTATTTATGTTAAGTTTTGTATCGGAATTTATTTTATTTTAATTGTAAAACACCTCAATATTTTAGCTTTTTCTTTATATATCATCTTTGCAATATTTTCATGCTACATTTAAGTTTTACATACTGAAAATTGTAAATTTAAATGAAGTTGTGTCTATTATAGTCAAAACTAGAATGCATATAACCATAATCCATTAGAAATTATGTGCCATCAAGTCATATGATGTCTACTCTAGTCAAAACTAGCATCTTTTTAAAGATTGATTGCAAATTAAGGACTATCCATCCAAAGAAAGATATAGCTGAAATTTATATGTCTAAAAAGGTAAGCACAACATGCATACAAAAAATCAAATTTGTCCCATGACTTTTGTATGCAGTTCTTTGAATCAAAGAGCATCACATGTATCTAATTTAGTTCTTCGGTTATACCAAATTTATCCTAAATATTCCTGTAGGTACTAATCTGATTAAGCCTTTGATGTGAATGATTACAGGCAATTGCTAACTTATGTGGATAACAATGAATCCTTGGCAAAAACAGATCTAGATATCATATCTGGACCAAAACCCATAGATTTGGGAGAAAAATTTGCGTACGTCAGAGAGGTTATTCCGAGGGTATTGGGGGGTTATATACGCGTTATACCCCCTGTAACCTTCCTGTAACCTACAAATATATGAAAACAAATGCGCGGAACTTGCTAGAAGGTACATGTTGGTTACAGATAGGTTAAAAGGGGGTATAACGCAGATATAACCCCTCAATATCTTCTGAATGACCTCCCTGACGTACGCAGCGCTGCGTACGTTTTACGTACGCAAATTTTTCTCCTGATTTGGTGGCAATTATTTTGTTGAGAGACAAGAATTTGAATGGAGTTGGGATTGAAGTTTTGGACTTTCTTGAGAGGGAAGAGTTGTTGTTGACTGGTTTGAGTTGAAGATGACTGTACCCATTCTAGAAGGTACATGTTGGTTACAGATAGGTTAAAAGGGGGTATAACGCGGATATAACCCCTCAATATCTTCTGAATGACCTCCCTGACGTACGCAGCGTTGCGTACGTCTTACGTACGCAAATTTTTCTCCTGATTTGGTGGCAATTAGTTTGTTGAGAGACAAGAATTTGAATGGAGCTGGGATTGAAGTTTTGGACTTTATTGAGAGGGAAGAGTTGTTGTTGACTAGTTTGAGTTGAAGATGACTGTACCCATTGGCTTTTAGTTGGAGAATGTAGATCTTTTCAACTATGGCTTTGATATTATGAAGAAATAGAGAAGCAGACAACATGAAGGAAATAAAGAAACTACACATACAGTTGGGACGAGGATGGATCAAAAATAGTAATATTGAAATGTATTTCATTCAGCCCAAATACTTCTTGTGCAACAGGTCTTTATGTATACTAAGTTAATATCAAGCATGCATAATTTTATTTTTAGATACAGGTCATTTTAATATCGTTGTATATAACTAGAAGGATTAAAAATTATAGGTCTAGACAAGAGTAGCGCTCCGTCAACTTAAAATATATAAAACAGTTTTGTTTTAGATACCACACAATTCCTATGTGTTTACTGATGAGGTTCTTGGTGTGTTGAACCGAGTAGCAGCACACGAAGTCATTCGTGTTTATATTGCACAGGTCAGTCCAGAAACTCTACAGCATCAAATTCATTTTTAGGTGGATATATACTACTGAAATAAATTAAAATAGGATAAATATATATGTTGTATTTTAATATAATAAATTAACCTATTGTAAAATAAATGAAAATTTTTAATACAAGGAATAATTTAATTTGAAAGACTGCCCTATATGCATTAAGAAAAAGCATTCATAATCTTATTATTGAAGTTTTTTTTTTAAGTTTTGGAAAAATAATTTATATATTAATTTTATATAATTTTTACATAGGATGGGCCCACAAACTCTTATATTTACATACACGAACTGAAACCCAATTTTCACAAATCCTGTTTTATAATCTGATTTGATCTTGTAGTCAAAAAAATTTCGTACCATAACGTATTTGGGAGAGTAGTCATTCAATGGAAGAAAAAAAAAGTTTGGAGACCTCCTACTTTGATTTATTATTTATGAAAATTAATATATACATACAAAATAGGTCCACACAAATTTTAAAGATATCCACTGACCCCAAGGGAAATGACGTGCAAGTAGGGGTGCATCGGGTAAGATCCAAGTGTCTACCTTTGATCCTTTGACAAATGATAGCAAGGTGATAACACCTAAGGATCTATATTTAAACTTCCAGGCTCTCACTGGCTGGGCGAAATGCAACCTACAAAACTAGAGACTACTGGCGACTGGCTCGAAGGATACCTCGACCAGACTCCCGCACAACTAGCTCAATGGGATTCCTTAATTGGACCAGACGAACAACAACAGCCGTTTGAACTTGTTGTAGACCTTTGATATCCTTCTGTCGACCCCGCAGAATGATGTTCTCCTAGATCATATGTCTGGCTGGGTGCATTTTTAGGCCTCCTCCCGACCCTACTAATGTATACTACCTAAAGTACCCCCTACAGTCGCTACTTTATTAGGGGCACAAAATGTAATCTCGAGGTCCCCATTTATATAAATAGGGGGCTCATCTCATGAAAAAAGGTTATGTAATTTCATTGTTCATTATTGTTCTCTCTTTGCTTTTCTTTCATCTTTTATGCTCTATTCCTAGCCAATCCCCAACATGAGGGATTGGTTGTGACAACAACCAAGGAAGTCAGACGAGGAGCCATGCGCAACAACTGACCCAGTATTATGTGAGACAGGCTCAACACTACAAGAGGCTCATTCAAAACTATGAGCAACAATCAAATGATTTTGAGATTCCTCGACCTACTCCATCGAGAGTGTCCATTGCAGAGATAGTGAACACAATTCAGGAAAAGGATTATTACTTCAAGAAGGCATCGTCGATAAGGGCTAGAGCTTTTCTCTGGGACCCAAAGAAATACTACAGGTACCATTGGGATCACAACCATGAATGAAGGAGTGTAGACATCATTAAAACTCGATCAAGGTGTTGATTAGAGCAGAAAAGTTGAAGGAGTTTGTGGTACCTGGAGCTACGATACAAAGGCATGGAAAATCCCTTGTGGTAGAAGTCCCGGATGAACCATTTCGGGCAAACGTTAATCATTTTATTAGGATAGTCCTTGTCATCTATAGGGGAAGTGATTTATCTCGATGATCCTCCTAGTAAAGATCTCGATCGAGGAAACTTTGTGGCTTTGCTTGATTGGAAGTTGCCCCCATCACATTCACCGATGTAGATTTGCTTCCAAGGGAACCCCTACAACGATGCCACGGTATATAAGCTAAACCGTCTTCAGAATCAGTCAACTCGCATAATTATCAACGTCAATTTTAATGCGCCAGCGTGATTCATTCAAACTCCCCATTTAGAAGGTTCGTCATTCTATAAACAGAGCACCTGTGCTTCTAGCGCAGAGAGGAAGAAGAAGGAAGACGAAGAAGATCCAGAAAACAATGAACTTTCTGCCGTTTCTTTTCATCTCAGCCTTCTACTTTCTTCAATGCCCGGCTTTTGCTGCTCAAAAGGTTTCCTTTATTTCACTTTTCCAATCTTTCCATCAAAAAGTTCTCATCTTTTGCAAAGCAGTCACTTTGAATCTGTGATTCACTTCTCCTATGTTCTTCTTTTTTGTTACAGTCCTATGTGGTTTACCTCGGAGCCCAATCCGACTTTGCAGCAGAATTCTCTGCTGATGCTAATGAAATCGTGACACAATCCCACTTTGAGCTCTTGGAATCATTCCTTCAGAGGTGCAGAAACGGCATGAAATATAATGCTTTATTTATTTATTTGCTTATGGAAATTTTTTGAATATAAGTAATTGAGGATTAATGCAGCAAGGAGAAGGCCAGGGATGCAATCTTCTACTCTTACACAAGATGCATCAATGGCTTCGCAGCAATCCTGGAGGAGGAAGATGCTCTGGAGATCTCAAGTGAGAGGAATTCTCTCTTACTTCCACATTTTCTGAAAGATTTATGTTGTTTTTTTTTAACTATATTAATTATATTTCTTCAGAGCATCCCGGAGTTGTTTCTGTTTTTGAGAACAGAGGGCACAAGCTCCACACAACTCGGTCATGGCAGTTCCTTGGCCTGGAGAGAGACGGCATTGTCCCGAAGCAATCTCTGTGGACAAAAGCTAGATTTGGGGAAGATGTAATTATCGCTAATCTTGATGGTGGTATGACACTAATCATTGCTAAGCTTTTCGCAGCAATCATGATTTCATCTCTTTACTTCTTCAGAATCCTAATGTTTTCGCAACAATCATGATTTCATCTCTTTACTTCTTCAGAATCCTAATGTTTTTTCCTTAAAAAAAAAAAGGATTTTTACAGTAAAGCCACCTAATTCTTATGTTTTTGCATCTCTACTACTAAAAATTTCTGTATTTATATTTATAAAATAGTAATAGCCAAAAAGAGCATCCGAGCATTTAAAAAAAAGTTTTTTTTTTTTTTTTACTTTTTTTTTGGGTTAATTCCTATGTTTATATATATCTAAACATTTAAACTTCAATTTTCAGTGTTAGATATTTAAATTCTTAAGAATCTCTGATGCTACGTGTGCAAAAAAAAAATATTACATCAGGACTCCTAACGTAGAGCTACGTTCGGAATTCACTGATATACGGACGCACGCGCTTTCCTGTGATCCAGCCCGGTAACACAGAGAACATTTCTTCTGTGTTATTTCACGTTATTTGGATGTTAATGTGGTGGTATTGATGTGTTATTGTGTTATTATAATACCGGGAATATTCTCAGAACACAATGACACATGAATACCATCAGAATAATACCTGAATAATGCGGAATAGCACTGGAGGAATATTCCCCTGCGCTAAAATGATTTTTTTAAAATTTTTTTTTATCACGTCCACGTAACTTCATCCATCAGAATAATACCTGAATAATGCGGAATAGCACCGGAGGAATATTCCCCTGTGCTAAAATGATTTTTTTAAAATTTTTTTTTATCACATCCACGTAACTTCATTCATTGGACTCTGAAACGCCGTTATTTAAAAATCTATCTAAAAGTAAAGTATTGCAAGGTATGAAGGCTTTTGGTTTAGTCAACAAATTCCAAGAGCATAAAACTCTCAGTTGGATTATCTCGACTTCCCCAGCTATTGAGATGGAAATGCAATTTTTGATGATTGTTATACAGGTGTCTGGCCAGAGTCCAAGAGCTTCAGGGATGATGACATGGGACCCATTCCTTCTAAATGGAAAGGAATATGCCAGAATGGTAGCAAGCACGAGTTCTCCTGCAACAGGTTTCAATGCTGTAACTTATTTCACTATTTTATCTTAATCTAATAAGCTTTTAAATTATATTATCTAATGCGTTCAAATAATTTTAAATGATAGGTTCTGTTTGGGGCAGCTTAACCGCTACGGCGGCGTTTAAAAACACAGTCTCATCTTTGAAAATTGCGTTTGAGTAGCTTATCAGAAAATTAAGTTGTTTTTTCATACTAAACACGGAACGCAAGTTGAACATTGCATACCTCGTTTCCAGATAAATGACTTATCTGGATAAACACAAACTGCCCCAAATGCACCGTTAATGAGATAAAATCTGCCTGTTCGCAAAATAAAATAAAATTTTTAAAATATTTTTTTAAAAGATTTAAATAATAAATACCCTATTAATATGTTCCCATGGGAGCCTCATACGATGATACAAACGGCAGCTATGCTCAGCAAAAATGTCATTTTCTCTTGACCATTTTCTTTATTAATAAATTTTAATTTTTGTCATATGCCAATTATTATGATTTGAATGGTGATAAATTATTAATGTCTATATATATTGATATGAATATGAAAATGACATTTAAGGTTAGCCATTTTTCAAATTTCTGGATTTTTTAGCAAGAGAGAATCAATTTCCATATTAAATTGTTATATAACTTGTGCTCATTTAATATTTATAATTTATTTTTGGTTAATGCATTTATCATATTTATTTTTGGTAAGGTGGTCATGTTTCAATCTTTTATTTTATCTTTCATTTTATTATTTTGATTATTTATTTATTTATTTTTATTGGTCAAAATTTTCCCTTATTTTTCGACTCATCACTTTATCGGCAATTAATTCGTTCCCTTCAAAACTAAAAATTTTCTTAAATACGTCCGGAGTCCAACAAAATCATGTCACGTGGAGGTGATAGAAAAACAAAAAAAAACTCGTTTTAGCACAAGAAGATATTCCCCCGTATTATTTCGCGTTATTCAGGTGTTATTATGATATTATTCATGTATTATTCTGTTCTAGGAATATTCTCTGTGTTATAATAACACAATAATACTTGAATAATGCAGAATAATACGAGAGAAATATTCTCTTTGTTACTGGCCAGATCATAAAAAAAAATGAGTTTTTTTTTCTTATTAGCTCCACATAAATATGATCCATTGAATTTCAAGCCCATCTCTATGTCCCGACCCCGCACCTAATATTTTTTCTCACATAATAGCTTTGTTTTATTTTATCAAAGTACCCCTGCACCCATTGCTTTCACTTTTCATGATGTCACATTGTGAATGCACCTGATTCGGGGTTCATTATTTGCATTTAATTAAAAATAATTAAATGGTTTAATTGAATAAAAATCTTCGTTTTGAACATTTATAGCAATAGAATTATTATATAAAATTATATATATATATATATATATAGTGATGAGTAGTATTTTAAAAAGAATTAATTAAATAAAAGGCTACAAAGATTTATAACCAATTAAGAATATTGATTTAAAAAGTAGAATAAAAATTATTAAATTAGATTCAAATGATGTTTTAATATACATAAAAATGTTTAAAACTTGCCTCAACTCTTAACATCTTATAGCTACATGATTAAGGTTGTCAAAAGGACTCTTTGCTCGGGAACAACTCGTGTTCGGTTCGTTAAGCAAATGAGTTGAATACAAACACACTTTTTGAGCTCGAAATATAAACGAAGCGAACATGAGCTGCGCCTGGGATCATTCCTGTTCGGCTTGTTTACGCCCCTAATTAAAACACACCACTGTTCGATGAAACTAATAAAATTTTGCATTTTCTAAGACAAGTTTCTCAGCTTCAAGCCATAAGATTAGATCTAAAACAGCATAATTTTCAATTCCAACGACATCATCTTTGCATTCATGTGTTGGTGCCATTCAATCTCTAATACTGATTTTACACAGGAAGCTGATCGGCGCTCGATATTTCAACAAAGGCTATTTAGCCGCCGGCGGCGTCGTAAACTCGACTCTAAACAGCCCCCGCGACCAGGACGGGCACGGCACACACACGCTCTCTATCGCCGGCGGAAGCTTCGTCCCCAACGCCAGCTTTCTCGGCTTCGGCAATGGCACGGCCAAAGGCGGCTCTCCCCGAGCACGTGTGGTTGGCTACAAGGTCTGCTGGCCTCCCATCAATGGCAGCCAGTGCTTCAGCGCCGACATTCTTGCCGGCTTCGAAGCCGCCATCAAAGACGGCGTTGATGTCATCTCCGTCTCGTTCGGTAGCATGGCCGTCAACTATTTCAGAGATGCGATTGCAATTGGATCTTTTCATGCCGTCAACAATGGGATTGCAGTCGTTACGTCGGCGGGGAATTTGGGGCCGGTGCCGGCATTTGTCTCGAATGTCGCGCCGTGGCTGTTTACGGTTGGAGCCAGCACCATTGATAGGGAGTTCCCTTCTTATGTTGTGTTGGACCAGAAGCGGCAATTCATGGTTTGAATTTTTTAAATGAATGTTTGTTATAAGAATTTCTCATATTCTTTTTGGATTTGGATTGGTCCCTTCTGTCTATTTTGAAATATGATGATTAAAAGTTTATATAAGCATAGAAATTTTTTTCTTAATGAATTTTTGTTATTTTTCAGGGGCAGAGCTTTTCGAGCGAAAGCTTAGCGAAGAACAAATTGTACCCATTGATTCGTTCGATTGATGCTGCAAATGCCGATGCTTCTAGCGATGATGCGTAAGTTTGAGAATTAGAATTGGTGCATTAAAAGTCATGAAAGTTATTGAAAGGTCATTGAGGTTATATGTTATTGAAATTAATACATCAATAACCTCCCACAAACCCCGTAATAACCGCAAAACAGAGGTTATTAAAAGATTATTACGCACGCAGCTTTACCTGCGTAGTCCGTATGCAAATATTTCCCGTAATTTGGGGAAATTAAATAAATATAAAGTGCGGTATGCCAAAATAGTCACATCTCAACTGAGTGCATATTTAAATACAATTTTTATAAAGTCAATCCTCAGTAATTCTTTGAATCTATTACTCATACTAATTACTGTCTTTATTCATTAAAAGCATGGCTACATTGTTAGAAGATTTTTTGAGGTATGTTATGAAGCAAAGAAATCTGGCTGAAAAACAAGATGAGCTTGAATGAAGTTATATTGTTAGATTTATTCATGACCAATCATATTATGATAAGGAGAAAATTATATTCACTCAAATTAGGCTCCAATTTCGGCAAATTTTGCTCCCTTATTTGAAATTAAAAAATAATTAATATAAAATTTAGTTTTTAAGAATGCAATTAACACTTATATTTTTATATTTGTGGCAAGATTTAATCCATAGACCCAAAGTTTGATTTTTGTTTTTTAAAAAAACCATTTTGGCAGAGACAAGTGCCTTCCTGGAAGTTTAGACAAGAAGAAAGCGAAGGGAAAAATTTTGGTCTGTACAAGAGGAGCAAATGTTAGGTTGGAAAAGGGTGAGGTGGTCAAGTTAGCCGGCGGCCTCGGCATGATTTTAGTCAATGATAACTTCACCGCCGATGAGATCATTGCCGACCCTCACTTCCTTCCGGCCACCCATATCACCTATTCTGACGGCCTAAAGCTTCTTTCCTACATCAAGTCTACCAAGTAAATATTTCAAAGTTCACCCGAGGAAGAATTTAAGTAAAAAAAAAAAAACCTAATAAATTTCAATGAATTAATTACTACTTAAATTCATAGGTCGCCAAAGGCCTCCATTACCCATCCAGTCACTAAACTTGGCACAAAGCCAGCCCCATTCATGGCTGCATTTTCATCTCAAGGCCCCAACACCATAAATCCTGAAATCCTAAAGGTCAGTATGAATTCTTAAAACCTCAAATGCTTTCTGGTACTTTCTTATGCTTTTACTCCATCAAAATTTGATTTTTTTTTTTCTTCTGTTTTTAGCCTGATATAACTGCTCCAGGAGTGAGCATTATCGCTGCTTACAGTGAAGGAACCTCGCCCTCCGGTCTCGACTTCGACAAACGTAGATTCCCCTTCAACTTAGAGTCTGGTACTTCCATGGCTTGCCCTCATGTTGCTGGCATTGTTGGCCTTCTCAAATCCCTTCACCCGAACTGGAGTCCTGCTGCTATCAAATCAGCAATCATGACTACAGGTGCCCATACTAGTCTCATGCGTTATAAACACTCTAATCTCTTCTTAATTAGAACATACTATATACTTTTGACATGCTAAATGACGTGTGTGCATGTCATGTTGATGAAATGAGCAGCAAAAGCACGAGATAACCTATTGGAGCCAATAAAAAACGGAACTTTAGCCAAAGCCAACCCATTCAACTATGGGTCGGGCCATGTTCGTCCCAACCGTGCCATGAACCCGGGTCTTGTATACGACCTCAGTGTCACTGACTACTTGAACTTCCTCTGTGCTCTTGGGTACAGCTCAACTCAAATCTCCACCTTCAAAAAATATAACTGCCCATCAAAAGCTCGGGCATTGGTTGATCTTAACTACCCTTCGATCACCATTCCTGAGCTCAGTGATTCGATCACTGTCGCTCGTAAGTTGAAGAATGTGGGCACGCCGGGAACATATGTGGCACGTGTACGCAGTCCCAATGGGGTGATGATAAAAGTGGCGCCAACGAGCCTCACATTTAAGGAGGCTGGCGAAGAGAAAACTTTTAAACTTACCTTAGCGCCAATAGGTGACTTTGTTGCAAAAGATTATGTTTTTGGCTTGCTTGAGTGGTCTGATGGTAATAAACATCGTGTTAGAAGTCCCATAACTATAAAATCCAAAGGATTTTAACCACTCATCATCTAAAGTTGTGTTTTTTACCCCACACCCCTTTTTTTTCCTTTCTGAAAGTTTTTCCTTTCTGAAATTAAAAGTGGATGTAAGCAACATGGGTTGATTTTATGAACCATAGAAGAATGGGAGGTTCATAGTGTTGAAATTGGTTTATGAAACCAATAGAAAAAATCAATTATTTTTGTGATTTCATTTTGAATTTTTATTAAGCTGCTTGATATATTGATAGTTTTGTTTTTCATTTATGTGGAACTCAATGTGTATTTATTCTTTTGTTTAGTACGTGTTGAAGAACATCCTAAACTTCAAAACCACCTATAGAAGATAACTTGCTAAGTATTATGTACATTAGAGTTATTCTTAAGAGATTTTTGGTGGCACATTCGATCATCCATAGAAGAGGGGATACTTAAAACCATGATAATGAGCGTAAGTTTTGATATCAATATTGGATTCTATTGTCATGCATTATCGTTGATGGTGATAACGAAAGATGATCTCTTTGGCAACAACAAGCATTGAATACATGCATGTATCGATAGGTAGCTGAAACATTTGTTTTATAATGACATGCACACTACAAGGAATATTTAAGCTTCAAACAACCTGTTTAGTTTTGACTGGACTCTTATCAACTTTTCTTATTATTTGATTTTAAAAAAAAAATTAGCGCCAAATTATTTATTGAAATTTCTCTAGATGATTACTAGAAACAATGTAGTTGACATGTGTTTCAGAAAGTATCTTAATGGAGGATGTTAGAGATATTAGAGTTATTTTTAAGAGATTTTTGTTGATATGTTTTATCATCCTTAGAAAAGGGGGTGCTTAAGACCACGACAATGAGCCTAAGTTTTGGTATCAATATTGGATTCTCTTGTCAAGCATTATCACTGATGGTGATAATGAACGATGAGATCTCAACAGTGGTAGCAAGCATTAAAAACATGTATTAATCTTGTCAATGATAATGTGCATTGGCTTATGGGTGATGGTAGTTATCAACATTGATGTCGATGAAACAAAATCAACTTTAATAGTAATTACATACATCACTATTGATGTTGCTAATGTGCATTGACCCTATTGGTGATAATGAGCATTAGAGTTGATGTTAAGATAAACATCAACTGTATTGGCGATGGTATGCTTTAATATTGATGTTAACTATATATATAAACTTCATTACTGATGATGTGTATATTTTAGTGTCAATGGAATAAATTAACATAATTATCAATTAAATGCATCAATGTTAGTGTTTATAGCATGCATGTGGCTTGCTGGAATTAGAGTGTGTCAAGGTTAATAGGATAAGTCGACATCTTATTAAAAATTATTGGGCCAAGCTTTAAATCTCTTAAAATCATATGAGCTTTGTGTTAGTCTAGGTCACATTAAATGTAGAATGAGAATCTATTCATAGATTTTAAAAATATCAATTTAATTTTTTCTTAAAATGCCTAAACACTATATTTGATGAACTCTAAAAATGTAATCAATATTGACAAAATTTAGTAAGATCTTAAAGCAAAATCATGTTTAAAATATAAAAGCATAACTGGGGAATGGGACTGTGAATTTTAAAATAAGTAATCTCGGATAAAATATTATAGGGAAAGTTAGGTTGGCCACATATTTGTGGATACACACATAATGCTCATATAATGTAAAGGTTTTAGAATTTTTACTAAAAAAATTGTTGTTAAATAAATAATTTTTTTGATTGAATGAATTTTTATAGATTATTTTTTATTAAGTATTTATTTAAGTATGATCATGATTATCAAGGAAGATAAAATGAATTGGAGCAATTCACATATGTAGAATGATGACTAATAAAAGGTTGAGCATATTGATTGAAGTTCTAAATGCCATATGTGTATATATAATTTTCTTGAATGGCTAGGCCCCAATGTTCTAGCATCTAAATGGCACTATATTAATGTTTAACTTCTTAATGGAACTATTCCAATGTCTGAGCACCTGGATGATTGAATTTATATGCAAGAGAATGAGCGGTCAATGCTTTTGTCCCATTATTATAATGCCTAGTCTCTATAGGATGGAAAAAACTATAATAATATGGGTAATGTAGTGTTTAAGTACTAAATGTTAGAAAAAAATCAATTTTTTTATTAGTTGGTAAAGAATTCTTATGAGTTGTTAAAGAACTAAGAATAGTTGCAGAGGTAATTATAAGAAAAAATGTTTAGGGACATATGAGGGCTCTTGGAAAAGATCTAAAAGACATAAAAGAGGGAAAAGCTCTAGAGAAGATAAGAAGAAGAGAATTATATATAAATGTATTCAATAAAATCAGGAATGATATGTTAATGTTCCTCCAATAAGTTTTTAGTTTAATGTCCCCATCTTGACCTAAGCCCACACATATATTATAAATCAAAGTGAACATGCGGTTACACTACAAGATAATGTTTGGGTCACCTCGCAATTAGCCCTTAGTTTTATTTTCTTAACTATAAATAATTAAATCATAAATTTGATTTTATTGAGGATCAAAGTTGTCATTTTAATAGTACTCGATCAATCAACCAATGTTTTACATGACATGGAGACTTCTCTACATCATTTACTTGTGATTCTATTTTTTTATCAATTTGAAATATTAATTCATTCTTTTCCAAAAATTATTTTAAATATATTAAAAAAATTTAATTTTCATTTTAAATTTCTATTAGAGATATAATAAGAGGTTGGAATTAAATTATATACTTTCAAAATCAATTCATCATTTTCAGCTCTAATTATTAACTTCTTATTGTGTAAATCATTATTTGCTCTACCAGTTGCAAGAAAAACTCTACCAAAAGAATTACGATCTCACTAATGCCCAAAACTACTGTGAATCAAGTTGGTCAATCAGTTAAGTATATGTATCAATAAAATATATAACAATTATGAGTCAACATATTGTTCCTAAGTGAAAATTTATCTTATTCTTCTAACTGATGATGTTCTAATTTAATAAATCTTTGAATATAGTTTGGAGTATCAAATGCATGAGTGTTAAAATACCTAAGATCCTACAAGATAGAAAATAAACTATGTTTTTCATAGCACTATTGTTAAGTTTTTCAGGGTTGAAAGGTCCATACTTTTGTGACACTGGTTTATTAGTTTCTTGATGTTTCTTATAGAATCTACAATATTGTTAACAGCTAGAGAAATGTCAACCTCAATCTATGTCTAGGTCATAAGTAGAGTTATAACACATATTATAGTTAAGGGGACTTAACCGTGCAATATTTCCCAAGAATTTACTAGTCTCATATCTAGGTTAAAGTTTTCTAATGACAATATATATATTCCACCAGCCTATTTTGCATTAACCTACTTATTCTTCTATGAGACAGTTAGATGTCTTAGATCATAAAGTATTTTAACATTGTATTAGGCCAGATTCAAAATAAATTAAGACCAGAAAGTTACCACATCAACATATGAATCCAACCATGAAAAAGACATCTAAGGAACAAAATCCATGTAAGAAATTATCGAGAAAATCATATGCATTATATCAGAGGAGTATGAAAATAAATTAATTATTATGCATGAGAAATGAAAGCATAAAGATTAATATTGCAATAGAAAAAGAAAAAAAATGTAAGGAATGAAAAACTCATCGGTTCTTACAAGACACCATGTTTCTCTTCATTTGATACAAAATTTTTGTGGTCTCATACAATTGCAGTCAATCTCTCCTAGCGAACTCTCCAAACTCACAAGAAACAACCCTAGGAATCTTTTTCAAGAAAAGCCATTAGATAAAACCATGAGGATGATAGAACACTACTAAAAGCTAAAGAGATGCAGACTTAATAATGTCCAAGAGTGTCTTAGGTCATGCCTAAGCTCTCCTTATATAGTGGTCATGCCTAAGCTCACCTTATATAGTTCTAACCAAATTTTTCATGAAAAAATTTGCCAAAATAAACTTGGTTGAACGATGGCGTAAACAAACCAATGATCAACACAAAATAGTTACATCTCAAACTGGTGTAGCTAAACCTTATAAATGCATATTTACACAATTATAATGAGGATCTAGCATAATTACTCCAAAGGACAATATAATTATGTCCATCCTCTAATTTTTGTAGCTTTCTGTTTTATCACTATGATGCACACTCAACACATGTAAGACATAAAATGCCACCAAAAATCATTCCATAAGCACAAAATCGTAATGATTGAGATATAAAATGTGGTATTTAAATCAGTGAAATCACGTAATTTTACAATGTATCTCTTAATATCTTCCTTCATATCCAAAATAAAAAAAATTAGTTGGGAAGATGAACTTCATATCCAAAATAATAAATTCCTTTAACAAGCACAAAAAAATGTTAACGAGATATAAAATATTTTATTTAAAGCATCAAAATCACAAAAAATTAAATTGTATCACTCAGTATCTTCCTTCATATCTTTCAACCTTGATTATGATATCGTCGATAATCTTGGAAGAAAAGTTAAAGAACGGTCGAGTAATTAAATGGTCATAATGATAGGTTGATGCTTTCTCAAACCTAATCTCTTAAATAATTAAAAGACATCAACTTATGCTAGATCCTAGATCACACGACGCCTTCCCCAAAAGTTGACTACCCACAGTGTAAGGAATGACAAAACTACCCAGTTCTTTTAATTTTTATGGGAGTTTCCTTTGAATTATAACATTGCACTCCTCTATTAGGGCTACAATCTCAAAATTTGAAAGTCTATGTTTTTTATTTAAATATTCTTTCTTGAATCTTATGTAACAAGGAATTTATTCAAATGCTTCAGCAAATGGAATATCAATCGTAAGCTTCTTGAACAATACAAAAAATCTAGAGAATTATTAGTTCAATTTTTGTCTTATTAATCTATGAAAAAATGTGGTGGAGTTCTCCATTGATCTTTCCTAATAGGTTGATGTGTTATTCTTATGTTTATTAAAGGTTTTCTAATGTCTCTCAGATAACGATAGACTTTTTTGTAACTACCTCCATTAACTCCTTT